TCATAATTAATATTATGATTAAATGATTAGCTCAAATTTACAAAATACTGGAAATTATTTTCCATAGAACGTTAATATGGTCTTAGATATTTAAGCTCGCATCCAATTGTAACATTTTATAATTTCAGTATTAATAATATCCTGCTTTTCTATAGAAAAGGTAAAACACTTTCCACAGGTAAAAATTCCCTACCTTGTGCAAGTTTAAGGTAGTAATATTGTATTTATTACTTACTTGTTAATGGGAATATTTAGTGAAATCAACATAGAGTAAACAGATGTCCTTGAACACATCAATGCTTTTGGTTTCCTGAAGATTATTTGCTGTGACTTTTCTTGCCTTATAAACAACTCCAATAAATAGGATTTTGAAACAATTCTACTTACTGTAAATGTAGCATTAAAAATGAAACTATATTATGCATTTTCTTCAACATATTGCTCCTATATATTTTGTTTGTTTTTTTCTGATCATCACAGGATACTGTCTTACTCAGAACACATAGATCTTCCTTGGTCTTTAAGAATGTTAAATACTTTTCATTTTATATTACTATACGATTCAGCTCATAAATCAATGGATTATGGCAGTTTTTCTCCCCAAATGTTGCTATTAATGAAAATGTCATAACATATCATTATACATGACATGTGAACAACTTTAGTACTATATTTTCCTGATGAATTTATAAAAGGTAGAATTATTGAATCAAAGTATATAAGAAATTTAAGTTTTGATAGTCAATTCCACATTAAGTACTCAAACATTTGTACCTTTTAAAACAGTTGTAAGTTTAGATATCTACGCCTTCTGGTAAAAACTGTATTGTTATTGTTAGGTGCCGCCGAGTTGTCTCCAACTCATAATAACCCTATGCATAACAGGACAAAACACTGCCTGGTCCCACGCCAGCTTCATGATCCTTGCTATACTGGAAACCATGGCTACAGTCACTGTCTCAATCCATCAGAGCCTTCCCCTCTTTCGGCATCTCTCCACCTTAACAAGAATGGCATCCTCCTCCAGGGAATGGTCCCTTCTGATAACATGATCAAAGTAGGTGAGACAAAGTCTGGCCATTCTCACTTTCAAGGAGCTTTGCAGCTGCACTTCCTCCAGAATAGATACGTTAGTTCTTTTAGCAGTCCATGGTACTTTCAGCATTCTTTGCCAGCACCACATCTCAAAAGCATCAGCTCTTCTTCGGTCTTCCTTATTCATTGTCCAGCTCTCATATTCATATGAGGCAACTGAAAATACGATGGCCTGGGTCAGGCTCAGGTTAGTCCTCAAGGAGATATCTTCACTCGTCATCACTTGAAAGAGGTCCTTTGCAGCCAATTTGCCCTGTGCTATACATCTTCTGCTCATGTTGCACCCAGATCTTGAATCCCCAAAAACCACCAAGGAGCCAATTCCACTGCAAAAGCTTAGGGGTTCTTTATTCAAGCTCGAGCTCGGACCCTCAACCATCACCGACGCAGCGGTTCAGGATTGAGAGCCCCGAACTCAAGGGTAATGGGGTTTCTATAGGGGGGTACAGTAGGAAGGATGAAGTTTCAATCAGAAAATTACAGAATTGGTTGACATTTTCCAAGTTGCTAGTTGTTCCTACTTGATTGGCTCTGTCTGGTGGGCCAAAGCCACCAACTGTTGTTTCTAACTATTTTAGGTAAGGTATTTCTCTACCATTTACTGATTGGATGTTGCTAAGGAGTATGTTTGAGAGTATCGATGAGGTGGGGTTAGTTAGGACTCTTTGTGGTTTTTCCAGTAACTAAGGCACTAAAGCATGGAGTATGTGCTAAGGTATATTGCAAAAATGGCTACATACATACAGGGTGGTTATATAGAAACATGGCCTCACATTCCTCCCTTTCTCTTGGTACTAAACTCAATCATGAGTTTACTGGGTGTCAACATACATTTGATTATAATGTATTGTACTAATATCTAAATCATCTGGGGGGAGTAATTGATATTGTTGCCTGAGGACCATGAGTTGCACAGAATTTACTCTATCTCTTACAAAGTTGACTAATCTGTTTAGAATACAAGGTCCAACTGTCAGTAAAATTAGTCCTACTATGACTGGTCCTGCAAGGGCAGATAATAAAGATGTTAGCCAAGGAGAAGTATTAAACCAGCTCTCATACCATCCCTAGTTTTGGGCATGCTCTCTTTTTCTTTTCCCTAGTCCTTCTCTTACTTTAGCCATGGAGTTTTTTATGACTCCTGAGTGGTCTACATAGTAACAACATTCTTCCCCTAGAGCAGCACAAACTCCTCCTTGTTGTTGGAAAAGGATGTCCATACCTCTTTTTAATTGTAAGGTCATTTCTGCTAACAAGGTTAAGGACTCTTGGAGTTTGGTAATGGATTCTTCTAGTCTTTCTATATCCTGATCAATTGCTGCTCTAAGTGAGTTATATTGCTGATGCTGGGTTGTGATAGAAGCAATTCCTGTTCCAGCTCCCACCAGTCCTAGCCCTAGTAAAACAGTTAAAGTTATAGCAGAAACTGGTCCCCGTTTGACTTGGTGAGGAACAGTTTCCCATTTATCTAGGAAATCATTATACTGGTGGTATAATACATGAGGTACTAAGTAGACTAATATACAAAAGTCTTTAGTTTGATTAAGAACCTGCCCATGGAGGCAAGGGGATAATCCCGAGGAACATACCCACCATCTGTTAGGGGGTGGTAAATAGTACACAGTTTGATTTATAGTTGTCTCAGTGTGGTTGCAGAGGTGTTTGTGAGTTTGTGGAATCTGTCCTATGCAGGTTCCTGTCCCTGTGATAGAAAGTAAAGTGAGTTGTCCAGATTTCTTATGATTCCATCTACAGGCTTTGTGAGTTTCTGACTGGTTGAATTTTCCTATAAATGCAATACCTTCATAATAGGGGGGTTTGATATTGTAGCATAGCCAGCAGGATTCTGTCAAATTAGATTGGGTTAGATTCAATAGTTGGAAAGTCTGGACCATAATTTTCCAAAGGGGGTCTTCCTGTAAATTTTGGACTGATGTGGTGCCCCTTGAAGGGGTGACGTGGGGAGACGGATTTTGGACTGATGTGTTGCCTCAATTATTGGAGGGTAAAGAGGGTACTGATTGGGGGGCTAACACTGAGTTGGGCCCGATTGCAACAGGGGGTGTCCAGGATTCAATTTTTAGTCTAATATTGAAAATGACTCCATTGTCATACCCTGTCTGGTACAATCGAAGCCCCCAGGATCAGCCTGTCACCCAGGTTTTATACTGTTTTCCCTTCTCTGTGAATCAAATTCTGATAGGATTACAGGTGAAATTCATACACGGGCCCTTTCCTATATACATGCTTCCACCAGCTGGGAACCTCCGCATGATTTTGGACGATCGGCAAGAACTGACGGTTAATCCATCACTGAAATGATTCCTGTCTACTGTGATGAGATCCCAAGTTGAAGAAGGTTTCCAGTAAGTGGTTCCCTTCATTTCACATCCATGCTTTACAATAAAAGTCTGGTGCCCCCCCCCCACTGGTTTGCTACAGCTCTGTCTTTTCTTCCCCCTGGGCAAATGTAAAATGGTAACTTACGGAGTTGGTGGTGGAGTTCAGGGTGCCCACAACCTATTTCCCTGATTCCTCTAGAAGCACATAACCGCTGGCATGTAGGCTTGCCTGAACATTTTTGTTGGGTTCCCAATCTAAGACGTTCCAGGATCCGGCCGCTAATTGGCATAAATCAAAGTGTAGGTCAGGCCACCAGGTATTAGGGGGATGGTTGCCCATGATAGAGCTGACAACGTCTCCTGTGGCCGACTTAATTATCCAACAGGTTAACTGTTGGGGTGTGTGTGGGTTAGATGAAGGATTTACGTAGTTACCAGTTATTAACAGTAATACTAATAAGGTCCACATCGCTGAAGTTTTAGTTTGAGAGAATTGTTGGGGTCCTTGGAGATGCGCCATGGTGGGTCCTGGTCAGGGACAGGATCGGCTTTGCAGACGTGAGTATGATGAATCCAGGAGGTTATTCCGTTAACTTTAAGGGCAGTGGGTGTGGTCAGGATCATGATGTGGGGTCCTTTCCAGCGAGGTTGTAGAGTCTCTTGTCAATGTCTCCGCACATATACCCAATCACCTGGCTGGTACTGGTGAGGTTCGGGAGGGGGATTAGATTGGTAGAGGGCCCTTAAGTTCCGCCAGATGTCCTGTTTGGTTTGTTGCAGGGCTTGAAGAGAAAAAATGAGTTCACAATTATCAATTTCATGTAACAAATCGGACTGGAATCAGGGAGTAATAGGTGGAGGTCTACCAAAGACAATCTCAAAAGGGGTTAATCCTAATTTATAAGGAGGGTTGTGGACCTGAAATAGGGCGAAGAGGAGGAGAGTCACCCAGTCTCCATCAGTCTCTATGGTTAATTTGGTTAAGGTCTCTTTTAGAGTTCTGTTCATTCTTTCTACCTGGCCTGAACTTTGGGGTCTGTAAGCACAATGTAATTTGCAATTCGCCCCAAGAATAGTTGCTAAACCCTGTATTACTTTAGACACAAATGCCAGTCCATTATCTGACCCTATCATAGTAGGAAAACCATACCTGGGTAAGATGTCTTCTAGTAGTTTCTTGGTTACAACTTGAGCCGCTTCTCGTTTGATGGGGAAGGCTTCTACCCACCCTGAAAAGGTATCTACAAAGACTAACAAATATTTATATCCATATTTCCCTGGTTTTACTTCCGTGTAGTCTACTTCCCGGCAAGTCCTTGGTATGCTGCCTCTTGATCTGAAGCCTAGATTCAGAGGGTTCTTAGTAACATTGGTTACTTGACAGGCTTTACAGTCAGAAACAATTGTTTCAATTTTAGATTGAGCATTTTTAATTATTACATCTGCCCGTTTTAATAATTCCTGCATCTTTTTGGTTCCTAAATGGGTGGTTTGGTGTATTTTGAATAAAATTTCTTCTCCCAGTTTTTCAGGGAGGATGGCTTTGTGATCTGCTGATTTCCATCAATTGCTTACATACTGAGTTCCAGGTAATTTTTTAATCCATTTCAAGTCTTCCTCTGTGTAGTTGGGGTTTGCAGGTAAGGTGGGACTTCCAGAATCAGGTAGATTGGAAGTTAATACTAGGTTGGTAGACAGCGCAATTTCTCGGGAGGTTTGGTCTGCTAGATTGTTGCCTTGGGTAATTGGGGTGGTGATTTTCTGGTGCCCTGGACAATGAATGACGGCAAGTTTCTTTGGGAGCCACAGGGCAGCTAGTAGATCTAGGATCTTGTTTTTGTTCTTAATTGTCTTCCCTTCCACCGTTAGTAGCCCCCTTTCCCGATAAATTGCCCCATGAATATGTGCTGTGGCAAACACATAACGACTGTCTGTATAAATATTTAACTTTTTGTCTTTTCCCAAAGTTAGGGCTTTGGTCAATGCTATGAGTTCAGTTCGTTGAGCCAATGTTCCTGCCGGTAACGGTTCAGCCCAAACTATTGCAGTTTCCGTCACCACTGCCGCCCCTGCATACTTTTGTCCATCATGCACAAAGCTGCTCCCATCCATATACCAGGTAACCTTGGCATCTGGTAAGGGTGTGTCTTGTAGGTCAGCCCAGGTTCTGTGCACTTGAGCCAGAATGTCGACACAACCATGGACCTAAATCTGGATCCAGTAACAGGGTGGCAGGGTTCAGTGCTGTAGGTGACTGGAAGATAATCTTGTTTGGGTTCAGTAACAGTCCTTGGTAGTGGGTGAGCCGCACATTGCTGAGCCATTGATCGGGAAGTTGCTTAAGAGTCCCTTCTATGGCATGCGGGGTGGTAATATGTAGTTCTTGCCCCAGTGTAAGTTTGCTCACATCTTTGACTAACAAGGCTGTTGCTGCTATTATGCGTAAGCATGGGGGCCACCCCGCTGCTCCTGGGTCTAATTTTTTTGAGAGATAGGCTACCGGTCTTTTCCAGGGGCCTCGGTGTTGGATTACAACTCCTTTCGCTACCCCTTTATTTTCATCAGTGTATAGATGGAAGGGTTTTGTTACATCAGGCAGTCAAGGGCAGGAGCAGACAGAAGGGCAGTTTTAAGTGAATTAAAGGATTTTTCCATGGCTTCTGTCCACTGAAATTTCTGCCCCTCCTTAGTTGCTTCATAGAGAGGCTTTGCTAGTGCTGCAAAACCTGGTATCCAAAGTCTACAGTAGCCGGCTGATCCTAGGAACTCCTGCACTCCATGTGGGGTGCTGGGTCTAGGGATTTTTAGCACAGTCTCTTTGTGGGCCCTAGTCAGGATCTTTGTCCTTCTTTCAATATGTACCCTAAATAGCTCACCTCGGGCTGGCAAAGTTGAGCATTTTTGGCTGAGGCTCGGTACCCCATATCTCCTAGTGTTTGGAGCAGGTCTCCAGTTCTTTGGAGGCAGGTCTCGTAGTCTGCTGCAGCAACTAGGAGATCATCTACATATTGTAACAGTGTAAGACCGGGGTGGTTGGATCGGAACTTACCCAGGTCTTCGTGTAGTGCTTCATCAAAAATTGTGGGCGAAATTTTGAGCCCCTGAGGTAACCTCGTCCAGGTCAGTTATCCGCTAATGCCTTCTATCGGGTCAGTCCATTCAAAGGCAAATAGGTCCTGGCTCTTTGGGGCCAGTGGTAGACTGAAAAAAGCATCTTTAAGGTCTAAGACTGAGTGCCACTGGTAATCTGGAGGTAAAGAACTAAGGAGGGTGTATGGGTTAGGGACAGTAGGGTGAATATCCATGACTTGTTTATTGACTTCTTGGAGGTCTTGTACTGGTCTATAGTCATTAGAATGAGGTTTTCGAACAGGGGTGTTCCAGGCGGACTGACAGGGTCAGAGTATTCCTAATTTTAATAGGCGCCGGATATCGGGGGTTATGCCCTCCCGGGCTTCTCGTGTTATAGGGTACTGGCGGACTCTGACTGGGTCTGCTCCAGATTTAATTTCTACATAAACTGGTGGCCTATGTTTATCTAACCCTATACCTCCAGTCTCAGCCCATGCTTTAGGAAAGGCTAATAACCACTGTTCTATATTCTCAGATGGAGAAGGAGGGGGGTTTTTTGTGGAGCCTATATTCATCTTCCAGGTTTACAGTTAACACGTGAATAGGCTGGCCCTTACTGTCCATAATGGTTACCCCTCCGTTTTGAAAGTGGATTTGTGCTCCTATTTTGGTTAGTATATCTCTCCCAAGAAGTGGATAGGGGCATTCTGGAATTACCATGAATGAGTGGGATACCTGACCCACACTGAGATCCACTGTTCTTCGGGTAGTCCATGAATATTGATTTGTTCCTGTAGCCCCCTGAACCCAGGAGGTTTTATTAGACAGTTTTCTTTGGGGTTTAAGTAAGACTGAATGCTGTGCCCCGGTGTCCACCAGGATATCAATTGGCGTCCCCTCCACTTAAGGGTTACCCTGGGTTCGGGGAGGGAAACCGAACCCCGTTGCCCCTAATCACTGAGTTCCCCCAATTCTAGTACTGTAGTCTGTGGTTTATGAGTTCTTTTATTTGGGCATTCTTTTGTCCAATGTCCAGTTTCCTTGCAATAGGCACACTGATTCTTGTCCAGTTTAGGGCGTTCTCCCCTGGGGAAGTACCCCTTACCTTGGTATTTTGCAATTTTCTGCAGTTGTTGTTCTCTTTCTCGGATGCTCCCGGTTGTTGAGGCAAGTAAGATTTTTGCAAGGTTCCGAGTGTTCCGGTCACTGGCTGCTTCTAGCGCCTTGGCCTCTCGGTCTTCTGGACTTTCCCTGTGATTATATACCCTTTCTGCAACTAACATTAAATCCTGAATACTTTTTTCATTTAGTCTGTCAATTTTTTGTAATTTTCTCCTAATGTCTGAGGCTGCTTGATTCACAAAAGCCATGATTAGTGCAGCTTTAGTTTCAAGCACTTCTGGATTCATGGGGGTATATTGATGAAATGCTTCCATTAATCTTTCTAAGAAAGTGGCAGGACTTTCATTCTTCCCTTGCTGTACGTCACCTACCTTAGCCAAATTGGTGGGCTTTCTTGCAGCTGCCCTGAGACCTCCCATTAAAGTCTGACGGTACACCCAGAGTCTCTCCTTACCTTCAGTCGTGTTGCAGTCCCAATTAGGATGAGTCAAAGGGAAGGTGGCATTAATCACATCTATATTGGTAGTGGGTTGCCCGTTATCTCCCAAAACAGATTTCCGGGCTTCCATCTGGATCCTCTCACGTTCCTTGGTAGTGAATAAAATTTGGAGGAGCTGTTGACAATCGTCCCAGGTAGGCTGATGAGTAAACAAAATAGTTTCTAGGAGGTCAGTTAAATCTCTGGGATTATCTGAGAACTTGGCATTCTGAGTTTTCCAATTGTACAGGTAACTGGTGGCAAAAGGCCAATAGTGAAGCTGCTGGTTACCGGTTGCGTCTGCGGGGTCTGCGGGCCCTGTGGCCCGCAACAGCAAGACCGTGGAATCTGCTGGTCCACTAGAGGGGGCTGTGCGCTGCATTCTTCCACAGGTGCTGGCTGCCGGACCTGTGGCTTTCATTGCCCCACCGCCGTCCGGCACTTGGGGCAGTGCACCCTCTCCAGCTGCAGTACCTGCTGAAAGGGTTTGATAAGGAGGGGAAAAAAGGAGCTCTTCCTCCATCCCACCCTGAAAGACTGGGTAGGTCAGTGCCGAAGGTTTGACTTCAGGTTCTTTCTTCTGAGCAGTATGAGGTTGCGCTGCCAGGACCGGTTTAGGTGCCTGCTTAGGAAGAGAAAGAGGTAACATTGGCTTTAAGCAGGGAGGTGGATTTTCCACTAAATCCTGCCATGTGATAATATATGACCTCTGATCTGGGTGTCCCCAGCTGGACTGGAACACAACTTCTTTCACCTTTGAAATAATCTAAAGATCAAATGTACCTTCAGCTGGCCACCCTACATTGAACGTTGGCCATTCCGAGTTACACAATGTGACAAATTTTCCTTTTTTTATTTCTAAACTTAAGTCGTGTGCTCTTTGTCTAACTTCCTTAAAATTATCAGTCAGAAGAGAAAGAGGAGTCATCACAGTTTGTCCCATTTTGTCCGTCCACTGATTAAACAAAATTAAGGACACTAACAAAAACCAAACAGACACACAAAAAGACAGACAGAAAATGCCTCCCGTGGATTGAAAGCAAAACTGAAAGTAGGACGATGGCCTCACGCCACGCTGCAGGAGTGACCCGCTTCGCCCCTTTACAAGTTCCAGATTGGAGGGCAACTTTGTTTCCTCCCAGGTTGAAGGGGTTTTCTAATCCCCTTCCAGAAGAGGCCCTGGAACATCTTCCAGGTCCTCCGGCTGATGGCCCACCCATGCGTCCACTTAGGCCAAAGTCAGCCCTACAGAAAATGGGCCCCAAGTAATACACAAAAGACTCAGACCAACATCAAACATCCCAACACTTACCAGCCAGCTGCAACCCCCTGGTTCGGGAGTCCTGGGGTATCTGGGGATCCCGGACGAGCCCCCAAATGTTGCACCCAGATCTTGAATCCCCAAAAACCACCAAGGAGCCGATTCCACTGCAAAAGCATAGGGGTTCTTTATTCAAGCTCGAGCTCGAACCCTCAACCATCACCAACGCAGCGGTTCAGGATTGAGAGCCCCGAACTCAGGGGTAATGGGGTTTCTATAGGGGGGTACAGCAGGAAGGAGGAAGTTTCAATCAGAAAATTACAGAATTGGTTGACATTTTCCAAGTTACTAGCTGTTCCTACTTGATTGGTTCTGTCTGGTGGGCTGAAGCCACCAACTGTCATTTCTAACTATTTTAGGTAAGGTATTTCTCTACCATTTACTGATTGGTTGTTGCTAAGGAGTATGTTTGAGAGTATCGATGAGGAGGGGGTAGTTAGAACTCTTTGTGGTTTTTCCAGTAACTAAGGCACTAAAGCATGGAGTACGTGCTGAGGCATATTGCAAAAACGGCTACATACATACAGGGTGGTTATATTGAAACATGGCCTCACACTCGTTAGCCTCTGCAGCTGCGTGAGTCAGGAAAAGCCTCTAGCCTGATGTTTGAACCAAGAATTTGAGACTTGCCAGCTTCTATAAATCTTGGATTCATCATTTGTTGGAGTCAACAACCAATATACTGCCTGCCAACCTTGAGCTCCTCAGCCTCTGCAACTGCAAGAGTCAGAAAAAGCCTCCAGCTTGACGTTTGATCCAAGTCCAATACCCACCCCTGGGACATACGAGTTGGGGCTGGATTAAGATATACAGGGCCTAAGGCACTTGACTGCTAACCAGAAGGCTGGCGGTACAAACCTGCCAGCCACTCCTAGGAAGGAAGATGGGGCAATCTACTTCCGTAGTGATACTGCCTTGGAAACCCAAGGAGGAGTCGCTATGAGTCAGGTCTGACTCGACAGCATGTAACAACAACAACAACAACACCTCCCCAAGAGCTAGTGCCTGGAATTCAGACTTCTAGCCTCCAGAAAATATCTGAGTAACCCCAAGGACATTCCAGACCTGGACAACTGAAAAGGTCCTAGTTTTCAGCTTTTTTCTTTTCCCTGTTCCTGGTTGCAAACTTTTTTCTTCTTTTTGTCATGGTTAACCCCATCCCTTGTTTTTCTTTTGGCATTTTTCCCTTTTTTTTCTTCATTGTTCTCCTTCTCTGCCTTTTTTCTCGTATTGCCCTATCCTCAGATATTGCAGGTTTTCTTGTTTTTTTTCCCTGACATCTTGCTTGTCCAGAGGGCGCAGCCATTTTGATTGTTTACACATGGCAGCCATTTTGGATATTTAAAGTGACTGAGGACACAGCCCTTTTGAATGTTTACAAGGGGAAGCCAGTTTGGATATTTAAAGTGACCGAGGGCACAGCCATTTTTAATGTTTACAAGTGGCAACCATTTTGGATTTTAAAGTGATAGCATTCTTGTTCAGATTCCAAGGACCTAAGAACAGGCAGCGAGGCAGGAGGCAGGAAGAGGACAGAAAAGGCTAAGGGGATAGGAACAGATTGAGGAGTCAACCGCAGGGAGCCAGGTGAGGAGAGGGGACCCAGGCCACCCACCAAAAGCAGCGAGGCAGGAAGCAGGGAGAGGAAAGAAAAGGCAAAGGGGGCTGGAACAGATTGAGGAGTTAGCCGCAAGGATCCAGGTAAGAGTGGTTGGAGGGGTTTCCAACAGCTAAGGGAGACAAACTTGTCTATCAGTTTGTCCTACTGTGGTGACATGTTGCTGTGAGTCTTGAGGCTGTGCCACTGGTGTTTCAAACCCAGTGGGGTGCACCTGTTGCACAGGT